ACAAACAAAACCGTTCTTGCCTGGATGAAGGGGAGGATTTCACATAAAAACCTCATAAAATGTCTCTGAAGGAAATCCTGGTACTGTCAGAATAGTTCTAGCACTTCAATTGAATATAATCCTCCATTGTTCTTTTCTTGATTTAGTTTCCGTAGCTCCCGAAAACTTACTTCAATCTTGTTGAGCTCAGAATAAACACTTATCTGAAGAGAAAAAAGAAGTTTCAGAGTAAGTTTTACCCCAATCTCTGCACATAAATATGTTTTCCATAATTACTTTTTTTTTTGGTGGCGGAACCGGGGATTGAACTCAGGACCCTGCGCTTGCCAGGCAAGTGCTTATTCTACTGAGCCATCTCCCCGGCCCCATACTTATGACTTCTCAATGAACAATTTTCTTGGGGTGCTAGGGACTGATCCTCAACCTTGAGCATGTTAATACTCTAACCCCTGAGCATACCCACAGGCCCTTCAGACACAAAAACAAGACTTGTAATGTAGAGGCAGATAAAATCAGGAAGTATTAAACAATCACAAACCTGAGATTTCACAAACCTATAAAGGTTTATCAGTAGCCTTTTTGCTTCTGGTATCATTAAGACAACAGTAAAGTTAGCATCCAGAAGTAGACATATCCAATCCATAATCTGAAGAGAAACAAAAAGGAGAAAGTTAAGACTTAAGTTTAGGGGCAGGGGATATACATAGCTCAGTGGCACAGCACCTGCCCGGCAAGCACGAGGTCGTGAGTTCAATTCCTGGAGCCGTCTTACCCCCTCAGCCCCCGACTAAGTTTAAACCAGGCGAGGTGGCAGCAGCGCGGCAGTGCTGCACACTTATGAGCCAGTACTTGACGAGAGGCTGAGGCGGGAGGATCCACAAGTGTGGGCCAGCCTGGGCTACACAGTTCAAGGCCTGCCTGAACTATACAGCTAGAAAAACCATAAGCTTAATTTTAGGATAATTTATGTCACAAAGCCCAAAATTCTAACAAACTGTTACCTGAAACACTTTATTCATCAAAGTATGAATAATTTAGAGGCGAATTTCTGAAAACTTTTTGCTTTTATACTTGTTGTAAGCAAAGGTGTATCTTCTTTAAGGATTAATCTGCAACAGGAAAGCTGGAATGACATTTAATGTGCTCCTGCCAGCTTGAACCGCCACTGCTGGCTCATGCAGGACTCTCCCACCGGCAGCCGCACCACGGCCACTCTGCACCAATGAATCGAACCACTTTTATGGGTCTTTTTTTACTAATAAAATGAATAAAAGCCACCATGGGCCACTGCGAATATGTTAATCAAAGGGAGAATTAGTAGTGATCCTTTTTTATGTTTCATTTTTAATTTTTTGCCTTTTTCAGACAGGGTCTTGCTATGCAGTCCGGACTTGTCTCAACTGCACACTGACCCTCCTGCCTCAGCCTCCTGAGTGCTAGAGGCCACAAGTGACTGCCACCATGCCCGGCCTGTCTTGGTCTTTTTATTTTGAACAATTTTCAAAATAGTTCTCTGTAGCTATAAAAGAACCCACTCATCATCTACCTTGAGAGATATACGCTACATGCCAATGATGGGCTGTACACTGCACATGAGACGTTTGTAAAAGGAGCCCAAGCTGCTCCTGGTGGTCACCCCGCAATCCAGCACCAAGGAGGGCCGGCGGGTAGCGAGCCAAGCTAGGGCAGCCTAGGAAGACCCAGTGTTACAGAGTAGGACACAGAAAATGAGACCAGGCATGTACCAAGGAAGGACAAGATAGCTCCTTTTACAATTATTTACACATTTGTTTTGGTACCCGGATCGAACTCACGACTTTGTGCCTGGTAGGCAGGTGCTGTGCTGCTGAGCTGCATCTCTGGCCATTTATAATTTTAGAGTGGAAGGAACATTAGTCATGACATGACTTAAGCCACCAAGGAAAAGCTTAATACATTGCAATAGTATAAAAATTTGTCTATTATCAAAAAGTCAAAAGCTATACTGAAGAGAATAAAAAGATAAATCATAGAGAAAAAGAACTCTAATATACTTGATAAAGACTAATTTCCTTAATATACGAAAAATGTTTTAAATGCCAAAATGCAGGAAGTACAACAGAAGAATGAACAAACCACCTGACTCAGTAGCTTTCAGGACACGTAAAATAGGGTAACACTTGCTAGCCATGTGGCAGAGTAAGAAGCGTGTGGCAGTGCGGCCCGTCAGCCCTCAGGAAGCTGGCGCGGCCCTCTGAGAGCTAAGAATGCGCGGAGCCCCTCCTTCAGGAGCTTCAGCTGTGCGCAGGCCAGCAGCGGCTCTCTCCTACACACACAGACATGGTGCTGGTCCTGCTGGGCCCCTCGGGAGACAGGCAGAGCACGGCACACCTGACTCGAGCCCAGGCTACGCAGTGGGACACACAGACATGGTGCTGGTCCTGCTGGGCCCCTCGGGAGACAGGCAGAGCACGGCACACCTGACTCGAGCCCAGGCTACGCAGTGGGACACACAGACATGGTGCTGGTCCTGCTGGGCCCCTCGGGAGACAGGCAGAGCACGGCACACCTGACTCGAGCCCAGGCTACGCAGTGGGACGCTGTCTCAAAAGGCTGTCTGTACAGATACCCACTCAAGATTTGTGTAGTCCAGGCTGGCCTCAAACTTGTAGTAATTTTTCTGCCTCAGCCCTCTGGGCTAGAATTCCTGTATAGCTTCTGGCATTACAGGACTATGTCACCACACCTGGCCTGTACTTTCTATTAAGAGATTAAGAGACCGCGGTGGACAGCCTATTACTGGTATAAATCCCCTTTTTCCTCTCCAAACAAGGCTAGGGACATTCTTGCAAAGGGTCATAATGAAGTCAGAATTTAAACTATAATGTGGAACTACGAATCTAGGACCTTCTACTGAACAAAGAGCCCTCTATTTAACCCGCCAATGGTCTGTGACAATGGGGAAAAGTCACATGGTCTCCTCAAGGAAGGGAGAGGAGAAATCAGCTCCTGATTCCAGGTGCCGACCATGCATCGTGCTTGTGTGAGGAGCTCTGAGCTGACCTGGCTCAGGGTCGGAGGGTGCGTTCCAGGAAGAGTCATGGGAGCGTTCTCGCTGCACTTGAGATAGAGGAAGTACAGATACTGCAGAAAGAGCTAGAAGGGGAAAAAGTCCATTTACTATTTTGGTAGAATACGTTTCTCTATATATAAATCAAATACAGTTACTGGAAAGAAATTTCTGAGGTTGTTCAATTTAACCATCAAATAAGCCACACATCCAGGGGCACAGAAACAAAGTCTCCACCAACAGTGTGGAGCTCGTCTGGCTGGATGAGCAGTTTACTCTACGCATGAACAACAGAATTTTCCTCCCTGCAGCAGTTTCTAGTGTTGACTCATCCACAACTTAGGTGGCTTACCCCGGGCTGCAGCAGCTGCCACCCCAGCCACTGCAGACCCCGAGGCCTGGCTTTCACTGTGAGGCGGGGCAAGGCCGAGCCCGTGTGAGGATCTGGCAAGGCTCAGAACGCCTGACAGCCGGGCACAGTGAAGCTGCAGAGTTTCAACAGGACTTCAGGAACACTTACTGTGGTATGCTGGGCCGGGATATCCTTCAAGTGAGGCAGAAGAAATGTCTCACTGTATGCTGAACAAAGAATGCCATTTCTATTTGGGACTAAAGGAAAATATTGTACTTCAATAAGTAAAAATAAAGCTGTGCGCTACTGTGTGTGCTTGTGCTCCCAGCGCCTAGGGAGGCTGAGGCAGAAGGACCACAAAGTTTGAGGCCAGCCCAGATGACTCAGTGACAGATATTACAAAATAAAAAGCGCTGGGAACAGTGTTCAGCGGCCCAGGGTCCCTGGGTTTGACCCATACATAATACCCGAGGTGTAAAAGAAATAAAATTGTATGCTGTTCCACTGAGAGCAGGAGTCATCTCCTCCGAGTTTAGACAGAAGCGCTGCCGTGTAGCTCACTGCACACCTCTAACCCGTCTGCATCCATCCGGCAGACCCTGGTATTATAAATACAGTAATGACGGTGATCTTCCTGCCTCAGCCTCCCGAGTGCTGGGGCTGCAGGAGTATCCCAACATGCTCAGCTAGAATGCTGCCTTTTAGATGGGAGAGAGCTTTGACTTCTAAACTAAACACCAGAGAGAGAGAGAGAGAGAGAGAGAGAGAGAGAGAGAGAGAGAGTCTCACTCACTCACTCTAGTTCACTATCACTTTGAACTCACTGTGCAAACCAGGTTGGCCTCGAACTTGAGGCCCCATGCCTCAGCCTTCCCAGTGCTGGGATTACAGGCATATGTAACCAAACCCAAGTTAAAAACTAAATTTAAGGGGCCGGGGAGATGGCTCAGTGGAATAAGCGCTTCCTTGGCAAGTGCAAGGGCCTGAGTTTAATCCCTGGTTCCGCAAAACAAAACAACCACCCCCCCCAATTTAACTAAGAAAATAAATTTAAACAAATCATTCCAATGTACAATTGAACACATTCCATTTTTGAGCAGCAGCTAGAAAAATGAAAGAAAAAATGCCCTTCAGCTGTCTAACAGCTCCTGGAATTGCGAGGCACTGGACTGCACGCCCAGGCCTGGGCAGGGAACCAGCTCAAAGGATACAGCAGGGCTGCCCTCTGGGGCGTCACTGGGCATGGCGTGGGTGCCGCTGCCGGCTCCTGGGGCTTCTCATTTAACTCCCGATTGCAGCTGCTGTCTTCAGGACTGAAGCCATTTCGGAGAATTCCGGATTGTTCTTCCATTTTCTCATCTTGTTCAGTATTACTATAATCAAAAACTGACTCCATATTGATATTAATTCCTTGAAGACTGTCATCACCAATGCTATGATGTTAATTGAAAGCCACAGGTTAATTCTTATTCTCTGAACTTTTTGTGGAAAATTCATTTTCCTAGCGCTCAAGATTTTAGGAATCAATTTGAAGACTTAAAATGCAGTGAAGGAGGAAGACCTTGACTCCAACCTACCTCAAGAAAGTCTTTAAGCAGGCACAGGTGACAGACTCGGGAACGTCCGGGAACCGCTGCAGGCACAGCTGCAGCACCTGGACATCCGCTCTCTCTAAGGCAGCGTCCATTAAGCCAGGGCACAAGCTAGGAAAGACACGCGGACGAGTCTTACACTAATGAAGACGTCAACTGTACAAACAAGGGTCCCCCTGCCCCCAGGTTTGGGCTCAGGGCACCGACCTGTAGGAGAGCGCGTGAGTCTGGAGGAGCTGCATCAGGCAGTTCCGGGGATAGAACGCGGGCTCGGCTTTAGCTCTTCCCAGGAGTCCTGCTGTGATGTTCCCAATTAGGTTATGACAGTCAGGTGTCCACTTAGCCAAAAACTTACGGAGCTCCACCTCAATGTGTTTCTCTGAGCCACTCTGAAGGGCAGAATTGAAGAATTCAGTCTGGCACGTTAGTTAATACATGTCACTCTGAATATAGTTTCCTCACACATTTTCTCAAATCACAGCACAAATGCACTCCTGTGAACTGAGTTGATGATCTTGCGCTAATCTGTTAAGAAAAACCTGCAAAGGGGAAAAAAATTCAAGGGTTCAGAAACCCTGATGTTTCTGGAGGGGAGCGCAATGCTGAAGCTCGGACCCGGGCTGCTCCACAACCAAGCTCGCCCCAGAAGCCCTTCTATTCTGAGAAAGGGTCTTGCTACCTACCGGGGCTGCCATCCAGGTAGCTGGGATTACAAGTGCACAGCACCATTCTTGGATGAAACCTAGTCTCATTATCCTCTAAGTAAAATGAGTAATACTATAGTCCTGCCCTGATTGACATTTTATTTGTATATGAATATTCACTCAACAGTATTTAGAAATTAGCACCTAGAAATTCAAATCTTTAGAAAGCTAAATTACAGAACAGCCATGGTGCTGCATGCCTGCAATCCTGGCACTTGGTAAACTGAGGCAGGAGGATTGTCTAGTCTGGGGTCAGCCTGAACTACACAGTGAGATCCTGTCTCACTTCCCTCAAAAGAAAGCTAAATACAGTCAATATAAAGATCAATACTGACCTCAGGAAACAATTGTGAGGGTCAAAACAGTCAAAGTTTTGGACAACTCTACAACTTCAAACTATAATACAAGCTGAGCGTGGTGGTGTACAAGTATAATTCTAGCACTCAGGAGGCTAAGGCAGGAGGACCAC